TAGACAAAGAGAAGAAGAGCCATGGTCATGTGTAGCTCAGGGACCCGGGAGACACATATGCTCCAACCAGAATCACACAGTAGCAGCAGGCAAATGGAGATGTGGGACTTAGTCACACTGCACAGCACACACCGGAAGGGGTTTGATTTCATATGTTTTTTTCTATTGCCAAACCGACTGGAGGTCACTCTAAAATTTCGTTGTACGTGTTACAATGGCAATAAAAGGATTATTTTATCTTATCATGCTGGTTAACTATGCATATGTCTGCCCTCTCATGTAAAGAGACATACTGACTGGACTGCTCACACTCGTGTGAAAATATGCATTTTAATTGTTTCACTGAATCAGCCTGTGCTAGATGCAGACTAGAGAGTGTGGCGTCTTACCATTTTCCCAGGACTCCCCTTGTTGCAAGTCTTGGATGATGCTATACTGGATCTGATTGGCCAGCTCTGGGAAAGGGGGAGGGGGCAAGAGAAGTGAGAGGGACAGAGAGACGAGAGGTGGGAGACGGGGGGGGGGGGGGGGGTACACACCACCTTGTGTACACAACTAACCACCCCCACACTATGAAACAATGGAAGTTTCGTTTAACAACACAGACAAACACACGTATGCAGGCCGCTATTCTATGTAAAGCAGTGTGCTCCTAGACCGGAGCAACAGGCTAATGACGTAACCAGGGCTCCAGCCATGGGGAGGTTAATTAAGAGAGTAAGACTCAAGACTGGCACTGGCTCAGCTTACCCTCAGCTTTTGTAAGCACACGTGCGAGCACCTGTGTGTGCATGTCCGGTTCATCCAGCATCAGCACTAAGAGCCCATTAAAGACACGCCCATGTCAGTGTGTGTGTGTGTGTGTGTGTGTGTCCATGCTCCCTGGGTCAATATTTGAAATCGTGAGGACAGCCCCAGTGCATTAGAGTGGATTAGTGAGGGAAGGGACAGCCCCTGGCAGGCTTTGCACCTCACAGGGATTTGGGGGTTATAATGCGTGGGTGTTCGCTTGTGTGCACAGTTTCACACAGACTATTGTGTATGCAAATGCTTTTCACCTGCTCTGCGTGTCTGTGTGCAGCACCCACCCTTTAAACAATCCCACAATGTTGTTTGGAGGAAACCCAAGAATTTATTGGCCTTGAGTGCTGGCTGCGGGCTCAGCGTGGTAAGAGCAGACTGCAATGGCAAAGTACGCAGAGACTTGAAACCACTCTCCGCTTTGAGCTGTTCTTATTTTCCACAACACCAGCATTCCTCTGTTTACCTCTAACACACACTGCTTCCACAATTAAATCTGTCACAATCACTTCTTTTTTTGGTAAATCATTACCAGTAATTTAAATTTTAAAATTAGATATCCACCATTTGGCCCCAAAAAAACAAACAAACAAACAAAAAAAAAAAAACAGTAGAGAACATTTACAGATTTTATTTTATAAAACAGGCCCATAATTTGTAAGGGGAGGCTGACAAAGCAACAGAACCACCACCATTTAGGCTGCTATGTTTTTGTCCTTGCAGCACAACCTCACAGATCAAACTGAAGAAAATAAAAGCCAAACAAGTGACTTTTAGAGCAACGAAAGCAAAATGGCAATCCCTCTGTCTCTGTGTAATTATAAAATATATGAACAGTAACTACACATTCTTGTTTCTGCTTTGTAAAGCAATATTTCAGTAAAGCACAGTTAACACTGTAGACATCATGTGACATATTTGGAGAGAGTCGCAACAAATGAGCACTGTATGCAACCCAAGGCTAATTAAGTCTAGGCAGCTGAGAAAGAGAGACTACAGAAACACCTTTACCAATTGAAACCTTTGACAAATGGTACTGGACCGTCATCCTATGTACAGTCCAGGAAATGTGGGGTTAAATAAAAAGGCACTAATGACTCACTCTAAACATATGAAGAGAACTCACTGCATGACAGCAACTTTATAGTCAAGTAAACAACTACATAGGTCACATTCAGCACACAACTGGACGCAAAGTCTTCCCAAATAACCTTAGTCAACAAAAAGCCAGCTCAAACCTCTTATGACGTTCATTCACAATAATACAAACTTTATAGAGAGAATGAGACACTGAGGTTGGCCAACTTTATTTCTATGACCTGAAATTAAGGATCACTAGTGTCATGGAGAAAAATATACAGTTACAAACATGACAAAAAGTTGTTTTTGACAGTACATTACAATACAATCATTCTCTTTGCCCTCTCTGTTTGTCTCCTCTTGTCTTAATAAAATAAATGTCATTAGGCTCAGATCGTTCAGGCACCACCTCTGCACATGTGGGTGACATTTTTCTTAGTACGGGAAACGAGAAAACTATTTTCCTACAAGGGGAACTGAAAACATTATATATAGTATGACATCACTGATAATCTGCCCACAGAAGTTAGTAAACTTTCACATGTTTAATATAGAACCAGCCCTCCTCTCACACCAAGAGGATAATCTGTGGCACATTTTGGCCTTAGATTCTCTGGACATGATTCATCCACATGTTTCTGACTACTATCATTGATTTGACTGTCAAGACTGTGACAAGGTGTTTTTTGGGAACCTCTCTACAGGGACACTTAATCTACATTTAAACTGTATGAGTGATTTCTACCATTTCAGGTAAATGGACTGTTGAACACAAGTGTAATTTATGAGTAAACAGTTGCCTTGAAACCTATTACTGTGACTAACAGCATGCTCGATGAATTAACCATATCTTAATTTGGAAAAGTCGTACACATTAAACAGAGGCATGGAGCTAAACAACAAAGATACACAAGAGTGTTAGGAAGTCAGCACACAAAGCGAGTCTCTCCAGGCCATTACAACACGCTGAATCACTTTGTGCACACACTAAAAGAGCCCTAGGAAGAGTTGGAGGCACCAAGAGGATTCAAGCACATTTAGGGAGGCCTGGGGATAAGAAATATTTCCCCTGCATTAGGGAGGCTTCTCTCTCTCTCACACTATCTATCTATCTATCTATATATATTTTAAAATACACCCCCTACCTGCCCATACCACACCACTTAACATTTGATATCATTATGGTTATATCGAGTACCATGCCTAATGGGGGCCAACAGAAGGAGCCGGCTAGAGCTGAGAGAAGAGATTACTAAGAGTGGTACACTGTACGTGGATGGGACCGATGGAGGAGTTGATTATAAACTAGACAAAGGTATTAAAGGCTAAACAGAAAGACAGAAGACTGAAAGGAGAGCAAGTTTTATCAAGCAAGATTTTAAAAAACTGAATGGGTGAGGAGGTTGAAGGGATTCAGCATCCCCCCCCCCAAACAGCTGCAATAAGTGATAGTGTGAAGTGAAAGTAGGACAGCTCAAATGATACATTTTACTTCATGAATAAGTCACCTTTAACATGACTTATCGATTTGAATCATTAAAATCATTAAACTGAGATAGAAGTAAATGGACGTAACATCTCATCTGGTCTTTATAGCAAGTTTCAGCGGTGATGTGGCAACAACTCTGTGCTGAGGCAAAGCACTCCAGGTGGGTGTAACTCTCCTTAGTTGCTCGCACCAGTGTGATTAGTGGTCACAGCAGTTGGCAGTGAGTCACTTGTTGGTTATGTGTGGCATTGTTAAGAAAATATCAGTGCTGTTAGATGAAACAGCGGGGCGCTGAGCACTCCATACTTTTTGTGCTCTGATCAATAACTTGATTGTGAAAATGATGCCAGTCGTGTCAGTGCTTCACCTGACGGGCAGCCACAGCTTAGCTTCCTAGCACTGAATGACATCAGGTGACCATGGGTGAGACATGACTGGATATGTCACTCAGCACATGTGTAAATCATTACAAATGTATAGTGTACAGACCAACAGAACTTCATTTTAAATACTAGCACATATTTCTAGAGATGTCAAATATAAAATTTATGGGGATGTGTGTATAACATGACATACAACACATGCAGATTTTCTGCTTGTGATAACTGAACAATTGGTGCTTTTGGGACAAGGATGTGAGAGCTTGAGGACACTTTATCTGATGCAGGCATAAAAACACTTGTGTGGACATCATTTAGCTTCAATAAAATGCTAAAACAAATACAGACTGAATGTGACAGTAATTTAAGGATTTAGAGGTTAAACTGATGCCAGTGGGGAGTGGGTGGGGCATAAGGCAGAGGGAGTTAATGATGCTATCTGACTGCTTGGTTTCTCAGTAGCAGTAGCTCCAGGACAAGTTTCCAGACATAATCACAGCACATCTGCAAAGCAGTGCAGAGATCCAGGCAGTTACAAAACTGGATGGCAGAGAAAAATAAGGGCTATTAGATTGAGTGATATCGGTAACTTCCAAGTTTTAAGCCAAACGGCTCACTGAAAAGGTTAGCTGAATATTACTCTCACCATATTTCTCTAACACTTCTGATTCATTTGGTATTTCCTTGCAAAACAGATGCTTGGCAGGACTGAATTATATAAAGATACTACAACCTAATCTTAATGATACTCCTCTTTCATCTTGGCCATCTTGTTGAGCTTTATGCACTACAGGCAACTTTATAAAAGACTATTGTGTTCAGATATAACAGAGGAAAATATGTATGTCAGATAATATAGATTTTGAACAGTGAAGTTAACCTTGTTAATCTGTTACAAAAATTCTGAATGCATCTCTCTACTGTAACAAAGGAGCCTCTACATTTCACTTTCAGAGAGCATCCAGTGTGAGTAAGGAATAGGAGTAGAGTGTGTGTGTGTGTGAGGTGTGTTTAAAGTGCAAATGTGTCCTTTACCAGCATTTTCTGAGAGCGAAGAGAAGTCCTCTCTGGGGTAGGAGGCCGAGGGCTGGATGAACATTCCTTCATCGAATCCCTCTTCAGGCTCTGGTGGGAAGTTATAGACAAAACGCCGTGTGGTGGCTTGTTTTTTCCTCCGCCCGCTTCCAGCCGCAGCATCCGGTGGCTCTCGCTTGATTGCTGCTGGAGCTGCTGCAGCACCGCCTGTGGCTGGCTCATTCCAGACAAAGACCTGCACCTGGCTACTTGCTGCTTGAGTTTCATTGGTCTCTGCTGAATCTGACGAGTTGTCATTGTGGTGGGTCCAGCTGCCAGAGGCTCCAGAGGTTACCAGGGCACAGCCCTCACTACCAACTACTGTCACCTCTATATCACTGGTTTCCTCCTTTACCCTGCTGCTTTCATCTTCTTCCACCACTTCTTTTCCTTGGGTGCTGCTGGCCTTGATCGACAGCTTTGACAGGATGCTCGTAGCCCAGAAGTTGCTTGGCTTCCGGTCCAGCCCTCTCTGTCCCTCTCTGGCAACCATCTGCCTCTTGTTGTAGTCCACCACCACTGAATCAGGAGCCTCCTGCTTGATGCTTATATTCAGGGCATCCTTTATGAATGCCCTACATGAATGTACAACCTCTGTCATCTGTAGGTAACTAGCAACAGACATCACCTCAATGGCATTTTGGCTTGTGAGCAGCAGATTCCCAGAGTAGAGAAAGTCGAGGATAACTGAGAAGCCCTGCACAGCAGCAACATCCAGGTGGGTGACAGTGGCTTGGTCCTGGGCTTCACTCTTGGTCAGACAGTAGAGGGTTTTGAAGTAGGATGTTTTTGTGTGCACGGAATACCTGACCGGAAACAACAATGTTGACGTCACAGAGGATGCCACTTTTGCGCTGCTTGTTCAGCTCCTGGAGAAGCTGGTAACAGTAGGAGTTCTCATTGGGCTTGTTGCGGTAGTCATCCTCTGAGCAGTTAATGGAGGGGCTGGTGTTGTCTGACAGCCTCACTGTCTCCTTTTAGGTGAAACAGAGTAAGAAAGAGAAAAGTTATTGCTGATGATCCGTGTGCTTCCACAATAGCAAAAACTAGCACAAATGTGCTTTTACACAAATATATCTTCCCCTTCCTGTGTCTTTGTCTTTACAAAACACACGTGTACACACACACACACACACACACACACACACACAAGCGCGCACGCACACACACACAAACCGGTGACATCACTGCACCTGCCCTAGGGGTGAAACAGGCTCGACAGACTTCTGTTATGGATCAAGTAGCAAAGAGGCAATGGAAGACATATTACTTTTAGGCTGAGTAGTAGGTTATTACATATCCCCTATAATCAATTTGTTTGTTCAAATTCCACTACTTCTAACACAAAAAGTATGACATTAGGTCCCATAACAGAATAATAAAACCTGAAAGACGGTAATTTAACATATACATGCCAAGTATTTGTCTTTTGTATGTACTGTATAAAGCACGAGAAATACACTCCTTTTTTTTTTTAGTGGACTGGAATGTTCAGTGCTTCCCAGACATTTTGGTAACTTGATTTGCATTTTCCACAAAACAGTTCATTTAGTTATGTTTTAATTAATTTTGAACATGTAGCAGAATGTCTTTCTATAACCCCAGAGAATGTGTACAACCTTGTTGCATTCCCTAACTTTAGGCTAAAAGGACTAAAGTTGTGATGGTAGGATAAATACTTTCAATCAGATATTAAAATCAAATGTTTAAAGACAACATATCTTGTGGCTATTTCAAACAGCAGAGAAATTAGCATCACTACTTGTTTGATCAACAATTACTTGTATGAGAGCTGAACAATAAGACAAAACAGCGAGCTTTTAGAGAGACCTTTGATCAATGGGGCTGTCACAAAAGCCTTAGGCTTACAGTTAACATGGAATATTTTATCCCATTTGTTCCGCTACCCAAGGCAATACAAAAAAGCAAATCAAAATAAATAAATAAATAAAAAGCCTACACTAATAAAAAGAAAACAGAAACAGAGGGGACATCATCAATGGCCACTTTCAAAGATTCAAACCAAAGATAATGCACATACAGCATGTATCAGACCAGGATTCTGCTCAGTGGCTACTTTTGTGTGTTGAAATACATCTGTTGAGGCTTTTATTTCCTTTAAAAGTTATGAAATTAGTTTCATTTTGTCAGGAGAATAATTAAACACAATCTGTAGTGGCACTGGAGACTAGACACATGATTATTTTCATGACGAATGAATACATTTTCTAATTTGGCTTTTGCTGTTACTGGCTAGGCTAGAAAGCAGTTTTACAAGATTCATACACATTTAGCTTCTGTACAGTAAAACCACTTCCCTCTTTAACATGAAAACTAGATGTAGAACAGGCCATAATTAGACCTGGTGGGATGGGGAACTGAGCAGTGTCCAAAGCAGGACACAACCTGGCTGCAGGACAGGAAAGGTATTGGCAAAGGCATAGAACTACCCACTTACAGCATTAGTGTTAGCTTGTTGCACCTAATAAACTGCCCACTGGGTATATAACCCACATACAAGTAGGTCGGGTTGAATTATATCTACCTGCTCCATGAAAAAATACATTGCCTCCCCCCCCCCCCGATGCGGAAAACATATATAGTTTTCAAACACCACACACACGCAGCAGCATATATCTGTTTCATTTTAGAACTGCACAGCAGATGTCCTAATCCAGAATAATTCACATTGCTTGAGCCCTGCATTTTTGCCCCCACCCTCCATCTCTTCACATACATATGCACACACACAAACACACATGAACAAAGCTGCCTACACATACACACAGCTGGGGTTTCAGCTCAAGTAATTCAGATTAAATCCATTTCTCTGAGGTTGCCACCCAGCCCCACCCCTATCCCTACTCCCTCCACACTGCGGCTCTTGTCGAGGGCAGCCTGGGTACACAGGATAGGGGGGGGGGGGGCTATTATCCTCTGCCACAGCTGGAGGAGGGAGAGATGGGATGAAATAAATGGCAGAATGAGGGAGAGATGAAGAGGAAGAATTGGATGTGCTTTGCAGGCTACAAGAAATAAGAGGAAGAGAAAAGGACAGAAAAAATAGATGTGAAGTGAGCAGTTGTGATAGGAAAAAACCGCAGAAACAGAGCTGACAGAAATAAGTGTGAAAAGAAGATGAGAAATGGCTGGACCATTAAAAGAGAAAGCCTAATAACACAAGCAAAAAGAGACAAGTGAAAGCATGGGGTGGAAATTGAGACGGCAAGACCTTGAGCCTTGAGAATAAGGGTTGAGGAGAAAATGTGGTGCAGAGGGCGTCAACAAGAGTGACCACAGTAGACAGAAGGAGCTGGGTCACCCCATTTTAGTCTTTACAATAGCCCATGTTCTCCCCGAGGCTCATTGTCCACTCACTGTGAGCCTTTGTGAAAGAGCTCAGCACTCACTCTCTCATTACACAGCAGCTCCCACTCGCAAGCACAGAAAGGAGCCAGGGTGCAGGGTGAGGCGAAAAGGATGGGGAGAGGCAGGAAAATTATTCCTTGCTATACACATCAAAGCCTCTGGAGGGGTATGGCCATCATGTCAAGTATTGTGGAGGAATATATTGGTGAGGTCTGAAGGGCAAGCATGCTATCACAAAAAGACTAGTTGGAAATGCTCTTAAGTTACATTGGAGGCTGCACATGGTTTTTGCCATTTTGATTTTTTCTACTAGTCTTATCTTTGGATAGGTTTAGTTAAGCTCTCATCAAGCTGAAAACTTGTTAGATGAATTATATTTAGCATACATTTTCAGTCAGAAGATGGTGTGGACTACACAGAGGAGTGCACATTAAAAATATCACAGATAAACAAGCATTCTCAAACCCCTAGTATCTGGAAAGTTGTAGACCCTGATTATCATTTCGATATTTTATAACTAGCTCTCCCATTCCCCAAACATAACTGCTCCCCACAGATTTTGTGTTTTATACATAGCAATGCAATTGGCCAAGGAGATAAGACGTTGCCTGGCTGTTCTGATACGAGTGTGTGTGTGTGTGTGTGTGTGTGCGTGCGCGCGCGCGCGCGCGCACTTAAGTCAGGCTAGGACAGCCTGGTACTGCATAAGTTGCTCCATACCGGCCTCATCAGTAGTATCATCCTTTCTCCAGATGTGCCACGTGTGAGCTGGGAACTTACAGAACCAGCAGACCAACACTGCACTGCAGATGCTGGAGGCAAAGCCAGCCTGAGCCAACAGAGAATGTGGGGACAATATCAACCTCCCTCAGTTATGACGTGGCTAGGATTTTATTTGAGCCAGAGATGGCAGGGGTGGAAGAATAAAGGCAGAAAGAGAGCGCAAGAGAATCCAAGATCGTTCTGGGAAAGAAGAATCCTTTGATCTATGTCAAAAATGGATGCTTCAAAATCTACAGCAAATGGTCAACAAGAATAGATTTACAGGTATATTAAACAAACCAAGATGGCCATAAATTCAAACTTATTGATGCACTGACTACAGTCAAGATATGCTGGAAATTGAGGAACAGAATCCTACAATAAAAACAAACCACAAACCCAAACAAACCACAAAGCCCTAAGGCCAGCAGATCTATGAAAAACACTCAAGACACACCTCTAACAGATCATGTGATACAGTACTGTCCCCACGCAATATAATGACCCAGAGCCAGTTTTTGTTTACCTTTTACGCATTCATGTTTGCCAGCATCCCCTCATCCTACCCCGACCCACCATCTATCCAGTCCCATGACCAGCCCAGCCCTGAAGCCATCTCCACTGGTCCTCCCCTAACTTCGAGCATCCACTGTATCCTTCCCTCAACACCCCCCACTCCCCCACCCAAATCGTCTGTCCCCAGATGCTAAAAACAATACGGCAGTGTGTGTTTGGCCCAAGGTGTGGGAGGGCTGCACAGAGTGTCTCCCGGGCCTCTAACAATGCTCTGACAGAGGAGGCAGAGAGAGGGTGGGGAAGAAAACAAGGGGAGGGCAGAGTCACTGTTGAATTCAACAAGAAGAATTTTCCCTCTGGCTCCAGTCCACCCCATTCCCTGACCTGTGGCCCCCAATAAACATCCCATCTATCTGGGAGCCAGCAAACCGCAATGGGTGGGTCCCCTTCCTTACACAGGGAGACAAACACTTAAGTGTAGTGTTTGTCTTTACTAAAACAAGAGGGTGAAAATGACTTGTATAGCCCCCCCGTTATCGTATCCTGAACCTCATTTACACAGATACTAATGCAGGTAAAACATTTGTTCAGCCATTAAATTAGATGGGTCAACATGCATTATCTGACCAGACTATATGGTCCCTATTGTGACCTGTTAATGTGAGCTAGGTTGAACACAGGTCAGATATTGCTGGGCTTTGGTGAACAGGTGTTTTTATTTGAGATGGGAATTTAATTTGTTAGTGATGCTCAAACAAAGAACAAAAAGAGACGAGAGAGAACAAGAGTATATGGAGAGAACGGAAACAGAAAGTAATGCAATGGACCTCTGTGTGTTATGATGCACATATGGACAAACTGTTGTAGAAATGTTTCTCTGTACATTGTGATGACAAAGGATTATGAGCATGAGTTTAACATGTTTGGTAGCTACAAGTCATATACACATCTTCCATTTGAAAATAGGTGCCTCATCATAACCTCTTATCAATTAGTGAACATAAGAGGAAAAAAAAAAATCAACATATAGGTATGTATACGTGATCTTATATCTGAACACAGAGAACCAATAGTCTACTTTTAGTAGTGAGCACAGAGAACAATTTGAACACAAGACAGTATCTAACAAATTAAGGACAATGGCCCCGTTCTCCAAGGAGACCCACATTTACCACAGCTGCCCTGGTGTGCTAGAGTTAATCGAGTTAGCTTTAACAAATGCAGCAGAGGCCTGACTAATGTCAGGAATGGGTGAACAGAACAAGATGTTCCCTCCCAACATTATACCTCCCCTTTAATGTACTACTCACAGCTTAATATATGAAACTCATCGTTTTAAAAAAGTACGGTATGTATTAAGATTACAGTTTTACTCAAAAGGCAAAAAATAAATCAATAACAAAACAGCAAAAATACTCTATATAAAATATGAGTTAAAAGCATTTCTAGTAATGCAGCAATGGTACTTTTTCTTGTAGGCTCTATCCTAGATGATAGGTCTGAATAACCTCTCAGTACAGTGTCTGGGGTCTTTGTTGCTAGGGAAAAGCAAAGCCCCTAATCCGCTCCTACAGCTTTCCTTACCAATTAGAGATGTGTACAAGTCAGCGGATCACCAAGTCGTTCTGATTAATGATAGCATGTACAAAGGAAGAAACTAAATGTAGTAGTGCAATTCTCTCAGAAATCAGAGTCAAATAGCACCCCTCAGTTAATTTTCTGACATCTTAGACTATTGTAAGATTAGATGGTTGGATTTGGTAATGTATACGGAATAATAAAGTTTCTTTTTTCATGTAGGATTGATAGAAGAAAATGTCCTTTGACATCTGAATGTCTGAACAAATACACACTCCCTGATTTTATGAGGTCATTGAAGGAGTATTGTAGAAATGTTGATTACACTGCAATAAAAATAATAAACCAATAAAAGACTTCACAGACATCAATAAAGACAAGGTTCACTAAATATAAAACCACTTTGTTTTTAAATACAAAGCCTTCATTATACCATTAGGCTAACCACATAGTTTTTGTGTCAATTAAATCAAGAGCAGTAATTGGTTTGAGTCTTGTGCATTCAGCCTTAATCATAAGATATGCCCTAAAGGTATAACACTACAGCCCATTAAACCAGAAGTATGTAGATGACAGAGTCGGGTGGTGCAGTGTCATTAATTACATTGATAACTGATTCGAGTCTATTCAAAAGGTTTCATATGGGCCTGGCAACGTGTCAGGCTCAAGGTGACATGATTTACTCTTTCTCTTGTCCAGTGCTGCCAAGTGACACCATTTATGGATTGGATGGGGGCGCACAATGCCTCTAATTTAACGTTAGCTTCCCAAAGGGCAGAGGAGGATGAGTAGGAGGAGAGAGAAACATGCGGAGGTCAATCGGGACTGCGAGCCAGCAAAACTGCATGAGAGGACAAGAGGCGGGGGATTGGGTAGGGGTGCGGTTCCCCAAAGGCTGCTTGGGTCGAGCCCTTGCTATTGTGTGACCTCTAGCAAGCTAGCAATCAAGACAGCTGCTGATGCAACAAAGGGGTTGTTATATAGTGTGCATCTTCAAAAGTTTCCTTTGTAGTATTTCAGATAATTGACAGTTGATTTGACAGGCACTAAGCCCTTCCCTAGGAGAAGCAGCCTCCGGTGTTATGGTAGCTAGCAGGTGTCATAGCGGGGCAGGTTGGTGCGTAACTTGCTTCGACTTATGAAGTGGATAGACCCTCATATTTTAGACGTTAAACGAATCCGAGAAACGTGTCACTCTCAGAAGTGGTTCGGTGTGTTTGCCCTTCAGTAACTCAGTTAGTAGATATTAGCCTGGCTAGGGGCTTTCCACTACAGTTACTGCCCATGTACCTTCGGCTAGTTGGCTAGGCTAGTTGCTAGCTCTGGTTAGCAGACTGGTGCTAGCTAATTAGCTCGGACAAGGGATTGTGAAGCTTAAGTAAAAGCCTGTTTTCGCCTCCGCCGTATTTTTGAAGTTGTGGAAACTGTCGTTATAAGTGACAATTAAATAACGACATACGTTATAACAGAAGTGTGGCGGGTATTCAGTACCACACAGGTAGTGTTAACAAACTAATCGAAAGCGTCATGTACTTGAGCTAACGTTACCTGTTTGGTGGGGTCATTTCTCCCGTGCTCAGAAGACAGGTGATGTCTCAGCAGTAAGGCCCGTTTGTAGTTGCGACTGCCATTAACAAGCTCATCGCTGTTTTTAGTGGCAATGTTGTGGCACCAAGAACAGGACATAAGTCCCGTCTCCTGGCAGAATTTGAGCCATGGAAATTCTTGCAACCATGAAGCATGGAATAGTGAGTGTTTCTGAAGCAACGTCTGTGGTCTCATCTCAACCCCTGATTTCCTGGATCCCGTCTCGCCTCCCGTCGCACCGCTTCTCGACTCCTGGCCGTCGGCGATGTTTGGACCGTTCCCCGCTGTCCAGCTATTACCCTTCCTGAAACCGTCCTCCGCTTCTACCAAGCTGACACGATCGTCTCCGGCTACCCAGTTGCCCCCTTCCGGGTCCTCTTCTTCCTCCGCCTCGGGTTCCGTGCTGTCGCTGACAGACCCAGCGCCCTCCACTCTCTTCTGCGATGGTCCTTTTGCCCCCAGATCCCGGTCCTCCTCTTGATCTGGCCTATTCCCGTTAAAATGTCGGTCTTGACAGGCCAGGGCCTCCCAGCTGTTACAGTTCCCCCCAGCAATACTGCTGGAACCCGTTAACCCAGCTAATCCACCTCCTCGGAAAGCCAACGACCTGCGGTTTCTCTCACCGGACATTTTTCTCAATATATACTACAATCTTCACTTTCTCAACAGTATCCCCCACCGACAAAGATAATGTATTTATAAGCGACGTGTTTTCCGAAAGAGATGGGGCGTCGTCGTTTCTTTTTTTCCGCTTTGGCCCTCCCGGTGAGAGTATGTAGGTTATGCGGAAATAAATAAAGGTTTTAAACGCATAATGAATTTCAGGGTTCTCGCTGCGTCCGCGCAGGCCCCGCAGAGGTCGAATGGCAACGACTTTCCTCCCCACAATGCACTTCGAACAGAGAAGGGGGGGTTGGGGGAGGCTTTTAAAGAAAGATGGGGGTGCTGTTTATCAGCAAGGGGTCTTCTGTGTTTTAAGGCTGTACCCATTTTCCGCATGTTTATCATCTCTGGCTTTGCTTGTTATCTCAGTCTATAAATGCTGACATGTGTGCCCCACTTTAGCCCGTAGCCAATACTAAGCGGGATTGTCGTTATATTGCAAGATATTATATTTTTAAAGGAATTCAGTAAGAACTTGTACGAGTCGATAATACTTTAATGATTTTATTAATTTATTTTATTTTATTTATTTTTTATTTAAAAATGATAAATTATGTAGTATTAAATTAAAGATTTGTATAAAATATTAATTTAAAGATATATAGAGCATCTTGCATGTAAATATGTTTATAAATCTATATGTGTGTAAATTGTAGTTTTTTATGAAAATTAAAAAAAATCAGTTCTTATCAATAGGTTATTCTATTACATTAGCACTCCATTACAGGAATACAAGCTTGTCTAAAGTAGATGACTTTAATAGTGTATGTCTCTATCCTAACAGCTTGTAGTAGAATTTTGCAGTATATGTAGGCTAATCTTACAGCAACATATATACATACTCAGTTTTTGTTTGATAAATGTATTAAATAATACATTAATGTAAACTGTTGCAAAGCAATCCAAAAAATTTGTGAGCTAAACAAACTCATGTGATGTATGATCATTGAAATGTGAAACTGGCGTCCTTCTGAGAACAGTGAGATGATACAGCCTGAAGTTATTCTAACATCAACATCAGCGTCCTGTTTCTATTCCCTGTGAACAAGGTTAGGTCCAGCAGGTGGCACTGTTACATGTGAACACCCTTTTCTTTCTTTCTTCTGTGTGTGTGTAATGTTTGACATAGTTAGGTGTATGGTTTCAGTCCTGTCCAATTCTGGGCTTTGCACACAGCTTGTGAACCAGAGTGGGATTTAACCCAGTTTTTGATTACAATAAGGTGGCAGGTTGCATATCCCACAGTAGTGATTATATTTCCAAGGGAGTAATAAGGCATGCTGTGTACAAATAGTGTAGCTACATATAAACTTTGGATATCAATTACAATTGCACATGGAATAGATTTGACAAGTTTAATTTCATTGTAGTGAACAGGATGGTGTATGTCACAATATTTTTTCTGTTATGAAATAAGTGCACAAGCAGGTATCAGGTATTGAGCTAAAAGCTACATTCTAAACATTTTCTTTACTAGATGACCACCATTTTGTTCACCTTAGAATATGTTAGTTTTAATTTAGTTTCAGTTTTAAATAATTGATACACAGATTTTAGTTTAAGGAGACAAACCTATAAAAAGGCCTACTGCATAAGTGTGTTTATGCCTTTTCTTGGTAACAGAAGCAGTTGGTTTGCATGTGACAACCTTTTCTATGGACAATGTATATGAAGAATATCTGTGTCCTATTAGAGATTTCTGTGTTTTCAAAATTCCGCTTTATTACTTAGGTTTACTTGCTGTTGTCATTGTTGTTCCCCTTTCTTATACATATAAAGGAGGAAGTATAAGCTTCTTGTCACAAAAGCACACAACACATCTGAGCAAGAAGGTGTTATAGTTCAAATCAAAAATTTAGTTCATAGCCAGAAATTTTGGAAAGAGGGGCACTCTGTCACATTACTGGTAAACAGTAATATTATCACAGTTTTATTACATCACAGAAAATCTTTCTGAAAGAGACACCAAATCCCTGTTGACAATTTATTTATTTCTGGACAAGAAATATATTTTACTGTGATGGTCAGCATGTCCTTACAGTTGACATGTGGCAATCACTTCTCCCTCATTATCTTAATCATAAATTAAACAATTTCTGGAGACTCTAGAAACCTTTGCATTTTTTTTTTTTACCAGAGATTATGATTATTGTACCATTTGTATTTTGTATATTTTTGTCACATTCTTGTACAGTTTATTAATATAGGCTATGTATATGTTTTGACTTAAGTAAATTGCAATGTATTGTTTGTTGTCATTTCCATCAGGGGTGGGATTTTTTGTGGTTGTTGTTGATGTTTAGGTTTTCTTTGTTGACATTTTGTTCTGTAAATGTGTATGTTTGATAAAATGTAAAAAAAAAAAAAAAGTCAAAAATAAAATACTATAAAATAAAAACAGGTTGTCTATGAATACTGTTTTTTGGATCTTTGGATTTTTAAAAAACTGAACCGAGTCAGACTTCTTTGTGAAACTAAGTTTGACACTTTGCCTGTAGGCCTAAATGTGCATTTATGATTTGGACAATTATTAACTAATACAACAATTATAACAATTAATACAACTATAAATAAAACCGGTTATTGCAAAAGAAAAATAATCAAAAAAGAGCAGTACCAGAATAAAGTCTCAGGTGCACTACAGATGAATGTAGAATTTATATCATCAAATTTGCAGATGTTTTCAAAATATTTCCTAACTGGGTGAACTCGATGTGCTGTACAGTAAAACAGTAACATATAATGTGTCGTTGTTATACTGCCCTTTCTTGTTAATTGTGTAAAACTCCACGTGCTCGCTTTTGTTGACACTGCGGCGTGCTTACGTCACGGCAAACCCCACCCCCACGACGTGCTGCTTGGCAACATGAGAGCTAGAAGGAAGGGCTGCAACATTAACCACCTGCAAAGTCTGGAAACACACCTACTAGAAACAACGTTCCAGTACAATGGAAGATACAGAGAAAGGTAATTGATTTACTGAAACGTATCTCACTGACTATATTTTACTGAAAACATTATCAAAGTACATCTGTTTTATTTGAAAGTAACCACACTGGCTAACTTTGCGCGGTGACTTAAGTTAGTGACTTGACAACATATGCTACATTTAAAACCCACTTAAAGCGAATATTTGTGACAGAGAAGACAATACCGAGGCATTTGGAAGAATATAAATCTTTTGCACTCATAGAGTACCAGTGTTTACCAAAATAACACGGAAGTATATTATTACACAGCATTTGTTCTGTTCCAACATGCCAGCCGTAAAACAAGAACGAGGAAGTTGTCACGTCTGTTTAAGTACGATCTTTAAAAACTGGCTAAAATTTTGACAGATGGCGAAAGATACACGTAACTTGGAATTGTTATACGTACCAATACATAGATTAATTTGTACCGGCATTGTCCTACGATTTAGTGAAAAACATGCTTAAATTGAGAGCTTAACCCTTGCTGTAGGATACACCCGTTTGCCAGCCCACTAAATGTTCTCTAAGTCCCTATTTCTGACCTCTTTTACGGTTTTTGATTGCTTTTGAGCTGAAAGATAAATGCACACGTTTTGTTTGAGAACATAGCATTGCTTTTCTCTATGAATCTATTCTGGGAGGTAGTGAGGTTGAACAGGCCTAAGCATAGAGTAGGTGTGGAACTGCCAAGCATTTTAATACAGGGCTCTAAAGAAAAGAAGTGTGCGCGTTTGAGCCACAGGTATGCAATGATTTGATTTGATTTAATTTATTCTTTCAAGCATGTAAAAACAGTTGATATGACAACACACATAATTTTACACATAATCCAATATCAATGTGCTTATACCTAGTACATGCTTGAATGGAGTAGGAAGTCAGACTTATCCAGTCCTACCCCATGACATCATCTTACCATCATTGGTTTGCAAGCAGTAAATGATTCACTTCTACCCACATACGATGCACAATGCATTCAACATATGATTATTCGTGCTCCTTCCCCTTTCCTACACCTACATGGACGTTTCTATTCCTGAAAGTGCATGTGTTGTTGCTGAAAGACTTGAAAATTGGACACCTGAAGAAAAAAAAACCCACTCCTTCTTTATTGTATTTGACATAAAAGACCTAGTCATTGCTGTATAAAGAAGCAAGTGGTGGAGGTTTATTTATTCACCTCAAAAGCACAACCCTGACCTGTTTTCATCTCCCACCAGAAATGTCATTTCCTAATATGTACATGTTGTGTTTTGTGGGGTTATTTTGCTCCTAGCTGAAAAAGGGAAAGGCACAGCATATATTGATTGACATAGTGTCAATAGATTAACTTATTAGGCTATTGGTTTATAATTTATGCCTATTGGTATCAGACTGTTAGAAACTTCAGTCTCTAAGGTAATCTCTATGTATGTACTGGCTGTTGACACGGTAACAGAAATGCTTTACTATACTATTGCCAATGTTAAAATGTATTGTTGGTGAAACTTTTAATGTTTGGTTGTGTGATTTGGTTGCGAGGTATTTCATCTTGATGGTATGGCTTATGAGGAGCAGTTTGTCTTGTGACCATGTTTCCTCTTGGGTAGTGTAGTTTTTTGTTTTGCATATGCTTTAAGGGTTTCCCTCACCACATTACATTATTTTTTTACTGTGTGTACGCAACTGATGAACGAGCAATTCAGGCAGGAAATGTTGCGTGTTTTTGGAGCTCTGTATGTTGCCTTATATGGCCTTGAACAAATCTGTTAGGGCTATACTGTTTATTAGTAGTGTTGACTGGTATTCATCAAAATCACAATATGACGTAGGCTTGTTACGCTGCCTTTGTGATTTAGCTAGCTACTGTCTTGATTGTCAGTGCATTGAGTGAAACAGCAAAATTAGGTAGTAATTGTTGTGCTCAGACCAAATCAAAGTTCCTTTATCTGCAGGGCTAAGGTGTTTGGTGTGAACAGAAGTAAATTTCATCCTTCCTAGTAGAGGCCCTTTTAAATAGCATCATAGGAACTGGTGAGTTCTCTTTTTTTCTAGTCGTACTGTCATGGCAACAGACAATGAAGTTAATTTTTATTGTCCAATTTGCAAGTACTGTATCTATGGTAGCTGTATCCTGACGCCATCTGCACCTGCATCTGTCTTAATGGCTTTCTTTGTCAAAGTCATGTGCTGGATTTCAGTCTGTTCAGTGTTTGAGGCTAAACACAGGCACTTTGAAACACATTATTGCACCGACTTTTTAAAAACCTTTTTATATCCACTTAGTTTTTAGGTGTTCTTCCACAGTCTTTTCTTGTTAGTATTTATATTACAAATAATTGGATGATTAGGAGCAAGGTCAGCAGGTTTCAGAGGTGGAAAGTAATCAAGTACATTTACTCAAGTACTATACTTGGGTACAATTTTGATGTATCTGTACTTTACTTGAGTATTACTTTTCAGAATCAGATTACCTAAACAGAGTACTGTCTAATCATAAGACTTTATTGATGCCTGATAGGAAAAATTCACAAGCTATCCGACAGTACTTCAAATTATAGGCATATAATGTAGCTAAAATTTGCTCCACCTTTACCATCTGCAACATTAAATGTGATGTACACAATAATACATCAACAGTTATAATCCAGTAATTTGATATGCATTAATATGAAATGTGCCATGCTGTATAATGAATACGCTTACTTTTGGTACTTTAATTATATTTTCATCTTAATACTTTTGTATTTTTACTTGAGTAATATTTTGAATGCAGGACCTTTACTTGTAACAAAGCATGTATGCTCTGTTGTATTGCTAGTTTTACTTAAGTAAATAATGTGAGTGATTCTTCCACCACTGGCAGGTTTTAGCAGAAGGAGAGTCAGTGTTTCTCAAAGGAGCTGTTAGGTCAGTGGAGTCTACTCTTCTCTGATAGTGTGTATGATTTTTTTGATAATAGACATCTCCTTCTTTGTGCTTGCTTTCCCCAGTAGGTCAGTGGAGTTTCCAGTAATAACATTGAAGCATATGGTTTCTTTTTGCTTGAGTTGGAATTTCTTTGCTTCAGTAGTTCTTGCTTTTTACAGTGCTCAGTTTTTTTTTCTTTTTTATATTTTTGCTTATGAAAATGACGCTTTCCATGTTAAGGCCTCATGCTCTTCTTGTACTATATTTTAATTCACATAAGGCTAAATACTATAGGCTACTTCCCCTAAAATATTCCATATGATCTCACTATATGCATGATCTGTAATTGGGCCTGTTTCTGGTATTTTCATTCCCCTTGTTAAGATACTTACGGCTTTGGCTCAAGTCAGATGTTGAAAAGTGTGACAGACTCATGTCTTGTTTGTCAAATCTGTTGTCTAATAAGATTGACCATGAGCAGTCGCCAGTATTTTTGCCTTATTAGATTTCAGTGAGGTGCAAGTGGATGCTTTCAGTAACAGACAACATTCCCCCCACAACCATGTACAACTGACTTGTTGAAGTTAGAAATGTGCTTCACAAGAATAAGATACTTTCAAAATATTTTCACATAGTGTATGTGTTTAAGATCTTATGTTGTAGAGATGAGATACTGTCTTGATATAAAATAACAGATGGTACATGAAAGTATTGAGATAATAAGAAAAGTGCATTTGCCTTATTGCCTGATTTAATATTTGGTTAATATTATATCTGTGAGGTTTGCTGCATATTGTTTTCTAAACAATCTTTCAGTAGTCTATAGTCTTATAATAAAGAGAACTGTTTATGTAAATTAATTGATTACTACAGTGTCAACAAAAGCAACAGCTATGCCACAATTCATTGTAAGGTGGTTTGTTACATCGAGTCAGCATTGTAGGTCACATACTGTACAACCCAACAATTGGCTTGTGTAAATATAGGTGGAACAAGATGTTTGTTTGCCAAACAATTATTAAGTTTACCCTAGAAATACCTGTCTGTTGGCAGTCATGTTTGTCACAAGTTGTTTCGAAAAGAACTCTTAAAGGGTTTAAAGTGGACTATTACCCAGAAATCCCTGGGCTTCCTAAAAAACCTGTGGATTTCACATGCCAGTGTCAACAAATTTGAACGTTTCATCTCAGAGATGAAACCCAACCCCCCTGTCTATCTGAGTATTTTGATTTCTCGGCTTATAGTTACATGAATGAAAGTTAGCAAATCTGGTATAAAATTAAATGTAATTAAAAATCCCAATGTAGATTGTAATGTGTGCTTTCTCTGCTTTCTTGTTTTATGGAGAATTTTTCATTAACCTGTGAGATTTGGTCAGGTCAACCTCCCACCTGTCTGGTAGCTCTGGCATGGCACAGAATATCTTCTAACATGACACTGGACAGAGAATCTTTGGGTCTCACTGTTAAATGGAACATAGCGAGTATAGAAATCAGTCAGAATCTCTTCCAGTTTTCATAATTCACTCTCTTTTTTTTCACAGATGCGTGATAAATGAGACCCACAAAACACTGCCAAACAAGCATACCAGTCATTTTATTTAACAAGTGTCACATGAATTCAGTGCCTTTCCTGAATCAGTGGCTCCACTGGTCAGGAGTGTAGCAGAGTGGAAGTAACGTTGATCTCACCCTGTAGGGAGCCCTGTTCAGTCTGAGGATTACCGAAGATGTGAAAGCACTCAGTTAATTTATGTCCTCATTAATAAACATTTTCCAGCTTTATTTTGATTATCAGAAGAGTCTAAGGAGAACAGTTTGAACCTTTTACTGTGAAAAGGGACTGTCATAGGATGCAAAGGGTGATGTGTATATGTGCATTTGTGTTTGGAATATATCCATGTGGTAGACAGTAGTGTTGCACAAGATTAAAGCTACGGAGGAAAAAATGAACCAGACAGAATATCTGAGGATTGAATGAGGACAGGAAGTGGCAAGGATTCATTTTTGTTCTGGTGTTCCACTCTAGAGTGCATTTCTACAGTTGGCAATAAGTGATATGGATTGTGCAGAACATTATTAATTCTGCTATATAAATATTGCAGAATAGTTGGCTGTGGAATTTATCTCCCAGTGTTTCAGGATACTGTCCCGCCTGTCTCTTAATTCTGCATATTTCCTGGATAAAATCATATAAACATGCTTGTCTGTCCCTGTGAACAGAGGAATGGTGGCTGATGTTGGCTGAAGGGAACTCAGTGTACAGAACATGGTTCATGGACATTAGTTTTAAAGCTGACTTGCTGCTTTGGAAGATTTCTGTACTGATGTATACCAGGCAGTGTGCTAGTTGTTTTCCCTTTGAGTATTTGTAGATCATCTTGATCTCGTTATAAAACCATAATTTCCCATTTTTAGCATTCTAAAATGAAAACCAAGGGGCCAACCTTGCAAGTCAAAAATTGTTGTAAATTGACTATGAATAAATAACTTTGTAATTTTTTTTACCAGAAATATATTGTTTGTGCCTCAGCTCTCTCCTGAGGAACTAATCTTAGGACAATTTTGCTACTGAATTTTAGTTTTTCTTTTTATTAGGAGTAGTTCATTCATTTTCTACTGCTGAGTGGGGTCACGGGGGGGCAGAGCCAATCCTGGCCAGCAATCGGGCGAAGGCTGGGGGAAAACCCTGGTCGCCAATCCATCGCAGGGCTAACACATAGACGAACAACCACACACGCACTCCTATGGGCAATTTAGAGACACCAGTCAACCTAAGCTGCATGTCTTTGGACTGTGGGAGGAAGCCAGAGTACCCGGAGAGAACCCACGCAAGCACGGGGAGAACATGCAAACTTCACACAGAAAGGTCCCAGGTGGGGGCCGAACCCAGAACCTTTTCGCTGTGAGGCAACGGCGCTAACCACTGCACCACCATGCTGCCCCATTAGGAGTAGTTATTATATAATAATCCTTATTTCCACCGGCTCCACTGTAGTTTCACTCTTATGAAACTATCTGATTTCTTTTTTTTCTGCCTCCTCTCTCAAAGCTCCCAAGCTCCAGCCTAATTGCCATTAGTCATAAAATTAATTGCCAGGATGTTTTTCCACTTCACTGCAGCATTGAGAGCATCAGCAGGTGCTGGCACATACTGAGATGCTTACTGTGTGTTGACACTCTATATCCTGTCTGATAACTCTTCATAAAGCACTTTAGCACGACATGCCAGAAATATTTTGTTGATGTTTTATGTGGTTAGCTGGCTATACTTCATACAGATCAAGACTGTACCTTTCGAAAGCATACATCTAACTTGAATTATCAATAGGCTGATCAGCAGAAAACTGAGTGGCAGCTATTTTGATAATGGTTCCATGATATTATAATAATTACCTTTGGGTTCTGTACTGTTGGAGGACTTGAGCTTTTAGAAACTGTGATGGCATTTTGTACTTCTTTTTTGTAAATGACATTTTATGTACTAATCAGTTAATCAGGAAACTAATTTTTAGATTAACTGATAATAAAAATAGCACTAGCTCTGATTACAGTAGTTAGCACCTGAAAATGGCACTGATCCAAAGTGTTTCAATGATAGACTGAGAATTGGCCTTTGGAATTATGGTGGAGAGGAAGAGGGAGGGTGTACAGCGTGTATGCCTGCTGCAACAGTTGCTTGAAGGGACAGGTAACTTATTAACACAAGAAAGGAGCAGAGGGTTCACAATACCTTGGACTGATGCAGAGACAGAAAATGGAAAACCAGGTTCACAGTACTCTGATCTTCTGACCACCTGAAAGCCAATACAAAACCTCCCTATCTACGGACACACACTTGGACAGTGAGTGTGTCTGTCAGCCACACGCACCCCACAAGAATCCAGGACGTTGTAAACAAGGAGACACTGAGCCAGGTGACATGCATCTAGATCCACATGCTCACAGTCAGAACTCAGCTGGATTTGCTTAGGTAGTGGTGTTGGCAGGGAAGTGGTAGTTGCTCTGACCAACAACACACTGGGAGCTGTAAACCTGGAGCCTCTGGAGGAGTACCGCTCTCCGTTTGACTTCGAACAAAAAGTCAACACCAGCTACCTCTACCTATCCCCAGCCTATGGCGACACGCCACCCAGCTCGCCAGCTGTCAAGCCCAGAGGTAATCACAAGGAGGAAAGGGAGAGTCCAGGTGGGGGAGTTGAGGGTTGTGTGTGTGTGTGTGTGTGTGTGTGTGTGTGCTGGACATAAAGACAAAACATGGGCTCGGTTCATTGGATGAGAAGAATTTGGGGGAGCGTGAACTTGAAGGGGAAGGGAACAAGTGACAGTTTGTGTGTGTGTGTGTGTGTGTGAGAGAGAGAGAGAGAGAGCAACATTTGTCAATTTTCAGTTTACTTTCATTTAGTCAACTGTTTATATTTTCATTTTTAAGAAAATCAGCCTTTAAATGATCATTTACTGCAGCTATGAATGCTGAATTGCACAACTCTTCCACCAACATGTCTGAGGTGGTTTACAGATTTCCCTTTGTCGGTTTTTTCTCTCTTACTGTCAACACCTACTGATGGAAACATGCCTCCAAGGCACAGCATTGCTCACATAGAGCTACAATCAGACATATTACCTACAGGAATACATTACAAAATTTTATACATCAGTTAACTCAGGCCAGGTGCAACCTACCTAACCTGTTCTGCTCACCCTGAGGTGATTCTGTACTTTCACCATAAGCTTACAAAACTCTGTGTTTGAAGCAGGCCTGATTGAAACTCTTTCCACGAGCAGCACAATGTTGGTTACCAAAATAAAAGAATAAAGTAGTTTCGTAAGAAGGGAGACTGAAGTACAGCCGTTGTACGGGGAAGTGTTCATTACACAATCCTGCCTCTGTTAGGAGGTGCATATATTTCTGTGCATGTGTGTGTGGCACTGCTGTCACCAGTAATAGGAAGAGTGGACAAATGTAAGATGATAGAGTGAGAGACATGAGGGTAAAAGAGCCTGAGGGCAGATGAAGTGCACCACTTCAGAAGACAGTGGGGGTGGTTTCAGGGCTGAGGTCTGAAATGAGAATTTTTTCAGTATTTCCTTTAATTACTGTAAAACCCGCCTCTATTTCCTCTGTAAAATTGTTCACCACTGAATTCCAGTGGGATTCCTCACTTCAGCATGTTTTAACATATAAATATTTGCACTTGAGACCTACCCAATCATCTCCTCCTATTCCAATGGCACTAATTAATGTAATGTGAAAATGAGTAGTGGCAAACCACAGCTCTTGGCTTATGTTAACACTATGTGATTGGAAGGCTGAGAAATGTTATTTCAACAGCAGCTCTCCTGAGAGTTGTGAGAAAATTCCACTCTAGTCTAGGGAGTAGGGATTGCTGGGTTCTTGTGATTTTGGTATCTCTGTCCACTCAAACATACAGCTGTCTCGGTTGAACTCAAGTATTTGGAGTATTGGGGAGTGACATGAAAGAGAGAATGGGTGCCAAGGGTTTGGAATGAGGTGGGAGGAGAGGATATGGGTTTGTTGAGTAGAAATAAAGATGTGCAAGGTCACAAATCATGGAAAAGACCTACAAATCTGCAAAAATCCTAAATCTTTTTTGGTAATTTATCAGCAAGTTAGATCACAGAATTGAAGCCACTCTGATGTCTGTCTTGTGATTATGAAGCTACACGCAGATAGCTTAGCATAAAGACTAGAAACAGGTAGCCTGCATCCCAGCACCTCTGAAGCTCATGAATAAAATACTATAACTTGTTTGTTTAATTGCCACAAAAAAGCAGGTATAAAAATGACTATTCCTGTTTTTTTTAATTTATTTTCTGTTGTACAGAGCTAGGCTAGCTGTTCCCTCTGTTTTCAGTATTTATGCTAAGCTAATAAGCTACGCTAGTCAGCTGCTGGCTCTTGTGTTTTCTGACATTAACTGTCAACAAGAAATACAGAACAAGATATTTTCATTTATTTATTTTGATTCATTTTCATTCATTCATAGTTCATTCTCTGGGATATTAGGCAGTTAAAAACATTTATCCTCCTACTGTATTTACAAGGTGCCATGATAGTAGTGGCGTTGAAATAAATGACCAATACTATTAAGTCTATTTTGTCTCTGACCTCAACATCTCTCTTACATTATAGTTCTGCCTCTTGTCCTATTCTTCCCCAACTGTTCCTTTAACTCCTTCCCTGTGCTTATACGTTTCCCTTTTTAATTTTTTTTAAATATACTACCCTATTTTTGCCTTTGTTTTATATTTTACTTTTACTCAGAATTATTGAAATATGAGGAAAAACCAGATAAAAGGAAAAATGACACTTTGGGGCTCAGATCTGGCCTAGCTGTTGTCCTTTTGACTGACAGATCCTAACAACTCCTTTGCTGTTGTGCTCTCTCACAGTGTCTGAGCCAAGGATGTTTCCATCTGCCATGTTCATTGTATTATTGATGCACTGCTGCTCCTACTGGACGCAGCTGCGTCAGAGACATAGTAATTAAAAAAGATGTGTATACGCTCCATAATGTATGTGTGTGTGGAGTGAAAATATGAGTGAGTGGGAGAGGGAGAATGCTTTCTGCTACTGCTTGTGGTTTGGATCATGAAAAGCATCCTCCTTTTGACTGTCACCTCTCATCAAACAGCATGCTCTCTAATATTTTTCACATTCATCTATCAGCTTCCTTATTTTTTTCCTCACCCACCAGAGGAACAGCATGACAACGTGAGTTTGACAGCCAACATCAGCCTTCTTTCTCATGCCAGCTGTTCACTGTCATGCATCAAACATGGGCAACTATGTTCTTTACAAAAATATTGCTTCAGACACATACATGTGACATGCCAAGTCTTATTTTGTCTCCCAGGTTCCACACAACATCCTGACTCAGTCCCAGAGGTGGGAGAAGATGCAGTGACATCCGTTGGTCCCTCTCCCCCTCCACCCGCCCTGACAGAGGAGGAGCGGCAGGAGCTACAGGAAGAGTTGCTCAAGGTCAGGAAGATTAAAGAGGTTGAGTCAAGATGAAGTGTTGGACACAGCCTGATGTTTTTAAAGACAGCTGTCCTGTCCTAGTGGAGAAGAATCACATTAGAACAGAATATGCATGCTTGTTTTTTGTTACTACAGTACATTAACACCACTTAGATTGCTAATTTTAGTCTGGCTTTACATTGTATATTGTATGTGTGATGTATGCTTTGGTGGTCTTTTAATTTCAAACAAGCCCAGGTGTTGTTCTCTCACTGCTTTTTGCATATAAGTAGCACTGATGCTCATTTCCGTCTCTTGTATCAGATGCAACCTTGTAACCTGCCCCAGATGTTGGATTACTTGCCACTTTTAACTCCTATTTTAACCAATGTTTCCAGCTGCTCTTTTGCCATGATTGTATTAATGGGAAACATAAAATAGAGGCTCTTGTTTGTTGTGATTCATTAACTGAGAAAAAAGCAGCTGAAATTGGTTGGCTTTTTCTAAAACACTGTTAAATTACAGAACTGCTCCACTCTGCCAAAAGACCTGTAACGTTCGAGGCCTTATAAAAAGCTGCCACATTCTGTGACCTCTATGGCAGCCTCCTTATACCTTACACGTCAAATAGACAGTGGGATTCGGAAATAGCAACTAATTATGTTTAATTAAATAATCTATTGATTATTTTCCCAGTTAATTGAATGATTGTAATTAAAAAGGCACGTTTCCAAGGTGGCATCATGGAATGTTATAGATGATCAACAGTTCAAAGTCCAAAGATATTCAATTGCAATTAAAGTCAGAAAATCCACTTAGCATAGATCTAGAACTACAGAGTTTTAGGCATATTTGCTTAAAAAAGGACTTTGGCAGTTAACCAATTATCAGAATAGTGTGTTTGGTTCTGCTGCTTTCTTAGTAGCAATAGAGAGATTAAGATAGGGTGAGTGTAAACATATTAGGTGTAGATTTACAACCTTAGCTATGACAAACATCTCTCTGTGTATGTCTAGGTAGAGGATGAGATCCAGACTCTGTCCCAGGTGCTGGCAGTCAAGGAGATGCATCTGGCAGACCTTAAGCGAAAGCTAGGCATCACACCTCTCAGTGAACTGAGACAGAACATCACCAAAAGCTGGCAGGAGGTCACCACCTCCACTGCGTAAGTACTCACCCACCACTGTTTGTTTCACTTGTTACATAAGTATCTCATTGCCCATCACACCTGGCTCCTGATTTAAGCTCATTACTTACTTTATCAGACACCTTTTGAACAGAAACTTGTGACCAATTGGTTTATTTTCCACTATGTTTCCAATATATCAATCATGGTTTTATACTGGTTTGATAGAGACTCTTTTCCTGTCTGAATGCTTTGAAACCATGACTGTCAGCATCTGAACAATGGGGACAAAGACATCAGTGCTCTTGACAGGCTACCTGTGGCCTGCATGACTGGTTTTACATTACAGGAAATGAGCAACATTCTGCTGCTTTCAGGCTTTGACAAAGATATTGAAGTTGAGTTCTGACCTTGATTCCTCTCTTCAGGCTTTGATCACTCTGTCTGACTTTCCTCCTTTCTTTCAGCTATAAGAGGACATCTGAAACGCTCTCTCAGGCAAGTCTGAAGGCCTCGGCAGCTTTCTCCACTGTTGGCTCAGCCATCAGCCGGAAGCTCGAGGATGTCAGGTGAGACTGTGAGGAGACATCAGTGGGAACGCACATCCAGCAACCTTAAAAGTTATGGTTTTAGTCAGTCTTTCCATCTTTGCTGCGTACTTAGTGATTTATTTTCTGAAAGTTGGCTTAAAAATCTCACAGCGCCACAGTAGCTAGGTGGACTGGGAGATTCTGTTGACCATGCCTAGTGTACCTACAGTATAAAGGGAGTTGCTGAATAGTGTCAGTGTTAGCCATGTTTTTACGACACAAGAAGAAAAGTCATGTTTAAAGACAATTTCATACTGAAACCACAGCTTTTTATGTTTCTTGACTGTTGCTATAAATCAGAATTTCTCCAAAGTCATTGTATGCTTTTTTCCCCACCCTTTCTCTCAGGTGCAGCATGATTTTATAGTCTGGGAAAGTTGTGAACAAGTTAAAGAAGCAGTGCAAAGTCAAGGACATAAAGTTGTTTTCCTTCAGTTACATGTCACTGTAGCTTAACACATGTTAACCTGTATCATCATTCTCATCCAATTGGGTATCTCATTTGTGAGTGATAAATACACTTAATAGTAATTTTAATAGCATTGAAAGGCTCCACTTTGAGTTAAATCAGTAGTTTCAGTTAGCCGTCTCCATGCTACAGCTTCATATTGACCCCTAAAGATGTAAAGAGCATATTTCCCAAAATGTCAAACTTTAATCAACATATACACACACGCTCCACATATTTCAGAAACCTAAAGTACATCAATCCTTGGTATTTGCAGGTTGCAATCTATTACTAGTATGTTTGAGGAAGGCTGCCAAAAACACATTTGTTGTCTTCTTCTTGGCTTTCCTGTCAAATATGTTTGAATACTTGGCTGCAGCGGTTTGTAAATCCCCTGATCATTTCTGTTCTCTTTCCTGTTATCTATTCAGTTTTGCATCAACACAGATTTAGTTTTTCATGCATGTTATTTATCATTTTCTACTGAAAAACCGCTGCTGAAATGATATTTATATATAAATATAGCATTAATAATGTTTGTGTACACAGTTGTTTTTATTTACTATCAAATATGATGACTCCTAATCATCACTTCTAATTATTTCTAAATGTCCATTCTAATAACATTACAGTTCATGAGGATCATCTTTTTCTATAATCTCCCAATTAATGAAGTGGATATATAACGGGAGCCACAGATCTACTCTACGGATGGATTTTTGTCTCTGATCTAATATCTAATAACAGCTAATATTTCCTGGTTCAACAAGGCTTAAAATCCAACAGCAGATTGTCCCCTTTGAGATGTACTGTAGCTCCAGTTGATCCCCCCCAGATCCTAATCTGTTTTCTCCCCTGTCATCCTCCTCCTCCCTGGATTAATGAGCTGCAAACAAGATTATTAGGCCTCCCAAAGCTGCAGTGTGCCGCTGACGGATGAACCTGAACACAGAACTAGTCTGGGGGTTGGGGTAGTGAAGAGTGACCTGGGTGGGATGAGTTTTTAAGGATACCCCTCTAGAGTGCTTTCCTATTTGCCACTGTGCAGCTGGAATCATGGAACATATACTAGAAAAAATGAGGGTTGTGTTGTGCTTGCATGTGTGCCCGTCTTGTTCTATTGCTTGTTCTGTGTAAAACTGTCATTACTCTGCTAAGATCACCACTAACGCCTCCTTTCTTCTTCTTAACGTTGTCGGATAGCATCTACTCATTACAACACTCAGCTAGTATGCCTGTCATGAGGTAAGGGGTGCCCTCTAAGATACAAATGTAGTATAAAACATGAAAGAGGTAAAGGCTACACAGTGTTATATGCAGTTATATGTGTTTCATTCTGCGTTCTCTTAAATTTGTTTCCATAAAAATCTGTTTCATTCTGCATTCTCTTAAATTTGTTTCCATAAAAATCTCTTGAGCACCTTTTTTAGCAGAACAGGAAAGAATGGGGACATTTTAGCCAAGCCTGTGTTGTGTATCAGATAGCGCGATCTCTGCAGGTGTGATCACAGTGCTCCTGCTTCCATCTGAAGGGGAGACTGCCCGTCCACTTTTCAAAACATTTGTCCGAGTGCATGTCAGATCAGTTAAAACCACCTGTAATCCTGTCACCTACTCTTCTATGTCGTTGTCTTTTTCCTTTCCCAGGAATGCACCAACTTTCAAGTCATTTGAAGAGAAAGTGGAGACATTGAAGGTAATGGATGTTGCCCTTTAGCAATTCAGGGACATCTGTTGACCTAGACAGATGGTTTGTGCATTAGTTTACTCAACTGTAAACATCACCCTCTCAGTCTGTATGGCATTTTCTGTTCATAGCTTTATGGATTGTTCTAGAGGTCAGACACTGTCCATCAGCTCTTATCAACCACAGTGAAAAAAACCAAAACAAACAGTTATGCAGTAGTATCTACAATATCTACTGGTCACGCCAAACCAAATAAGCCTGTAGCAACAGAATTCCTCCATGTATTGAATAGAAAGAGGTTGTGTTTGGTTGCTTATGAATTTTAAATTGTAAGAGGAAGGCTGTGTTATAGCTTATTTAAATGTTGCATAATCTCACACTAAATGGATTTCACTTGTTTAAGATGTGTAGTGTTTACAGATTTATATTTTACATTGATTCAGTATTGTTTCTGCTCATAAAACGCTACTATGTAAATCTTTGGTTTGGATTATTTTACCATGGATTCTAAAGGTATTTATTTATTTTGTGTTATTTTGTGCATAAATCATGTGATAAATGTGGGTTTTGGGAGTAAAGGCAAATCTGCTCCCTTATTATATATTGATCCTCTCCTCTCCCCCCTCTGCTTCAGACCAAAATAACTCCGTCAGCATCCGTCGATAGCCCAGATGATCAGGACAGCAGCAGCACAACCACCGAGCCGTTGGTCAGTCAGCTGGAGCAGTCGCCCACCCAGGAGATGCACTGAGACCTGCCTAACCCTTCCTGACCCCCACCCTCTCCTCCTCACTTGACCCTCTGACCCCTGGACCATCAGCATTTGCCAGCTAAACTCTTGTGTGCCAGTTTTCCTTTAACTGGAAACAAATGACTTATCCTAGCCTTCCTTCTTATCTCATTGTCTAGTCTTTTTGTGTGACACATGGTCACACTTCTTAATTGCCGTGGAAACTGAAAGCATGAGATGAGAGCAGGCATGTGGTCTCATGCTGGCTGTGCTGTGTGAATCTAATCTGGCTGGCTGTGGGAGAAATCTCCCTCCTATGTCACTTTCCTTTTACTCCTGCACTCCTTATTTCTCTGCCTTTGTCTGTTCTGCAAAGCTCACATACCAAACATGCTGTCAGTTTATTTTTGTCTTTATCAAATTAACACTCAATCACATTTTTATGTGTGTTTGGGTGTAAAAAATTGCACAAATATAGAGAGATTGATGCTTGTGAACTTGATTAGAGAAGAATTTATGTTCTTTGTATTTGAACCAGACCGGCTTCCTGCTTCTGCTTCCCTATTATATGTTGGGTTTACTATTATAAGGACTTCATTGGTTTATTATACGTTGCCTTTTTCAGGCCAACCTGATTTCTATTTTCTTAATTATATTAATCTTGAGACACCATGCAGTCATACAATAGTCTAACACTGTGTTCAGAATATGAATGTATGCCATTTGTGTCATATCCATACAACTTAGTTTATGTCCTGAGCTACTACTGAGCTACCCACAGACTCTAAAGTAAGCATTTCAGAGAACATTTCACATTAAAAACGGCCCCTTTTTCCACTGGGGAGAGTTTTGTCAGAAAATAATCTCCGTGCTTAGGTAGTTAAGAGGGAATACGGCCATGATTCTCAGAGCAGAGGCAGAGCAAACAAGCGGTCAAAGTTCAGCCTTGACCCGAAGTGTGAGTGAAATAAATGTCTTTTCTGTGGCCTGAGTCAATATTTCAACACTTGTCCATTGTTTCTACAAGGGAGGTAACACCTAGCTTCCCCTATGGCACAAGGATACTCCACTGGATATTATTTTGTACACTGTTACCAGATAATGTTACAGGGGAGGTGTATCCCAGTTTATTTTATAAAGTGCATTTTTGTTTTTCCCTCTCATATTTTTGGTTATTAGAACAAAAGATCAAAATGTTTTGGTAGAGGCTTAACAAACTGCAAATTTATGTACAGTGTTCAGGGTCATATCAGCCTTATGGTTTCGGTCACACAACCGTTTTCTGGAGGTGGCTTAGCAAACTCATGCTACTGTACATATGGTTATATCCTAGAAACTATTAAACTGCTGAACAATCAGGCTCACCAGACACTTGTTAGCTGACTTACATGCACAGGGCTACTGATGGCGGTTAAAAAATACCTGAAGAGCAAACAGAGCCCGTGTGAACATAGCCTCTGGTATACAAATGGAGGACACTTCCTCTGTGCTGGGGAGCTGTCAGCCCAGTACATCTCCTCCCCTGCTGGCGAATGACTGGTTCAACGTGACCGTGATTCAGAAGCATTAACCATTAGGGATGCTTTTTGCCACACTTTAGATCAGTGTCCCGTGACAGTACTACAGAAGAAAGATCAAAAGGGGATTTCACATCAACTGTGACACAACAGTGTTTGCTGTTCTGAGTCTTAACTGTAGAACAGTATCCCATGTTCTCATGTGACATGACTTTGAAGCCATAACTCAGATAACTGAGAAAATGTATTACAGCTGTATGTTGTTTTGTGGTTATTCATGTACATAGAGCATTCACTGTGTACAGTTTGCTTAGTTCTTAATTGGAACACTGTACTCAATAAAAAAAAAATGCATGGAAACCTGATTTAGTGTTAACTTTTTTTATATATAAGTGGGGGGTGGAAAAAGGGGGAGTTTCTCAGGTGTAACCATTGTCTTCCACTGCATAGGTCATTAATTTAACATGTTCGTGTGTCTGATATGGGAAAACATGTTGGAATTACCATTCTGGGCATTGAAAGTGTGTCCATGTTGTATGTCTTTGGTTAAAATTGAAACTGGTCAAGCACCTGACTAAAGTTGCAGTGTTTCATTTGAACACAAGAGGACAGCAAAGAACAACACCTGGTTTTTCTCAAACCAAACCAGATCAGGTTGAAGAGCTGGTGGTTATTATATTTAGTAGATCTCTGTGGAAGATGGCTTTCAAGAGAATACTGAGGAGCTGAGAGTCCCTTTTAGGTAAAGTCCAGTTTTTTACTATAAGTGAAGGAGCCCAACATAAATGCAACATTTGACCTGTTTTGATTAATCAACAAGACATGTGTTTGTGTCATTTTATCTTTGTTCCTTACAGGTCGGATATGGGCAGGGCTGGGGAAAGGTGATGTGTTATTTTGCACAAAACAGGACTTGATAATAGCTTCTGGGCTGTTTCAGTCCTAATGAAGCTGATTACCTGAGTTTTCGAACTTTAAAGGCTTTTTAAAACACCTCTAGCCTTGATTGTGCCTTGTTCAGTCATAAATAACAGAAACTTTTAAGATATGAAGTCTTCAGGAGTTT